ATCAGAGGAAGGAATTGTATTTGTGCTTAAATTTTGAGTACCCCCCTAGCCTCTTTGCAGAAAGCTATGGATAACAGTGAATGTCTAAAATATATTTTAACAGTCTCAACATGGTTTAAGCCTCCACTGAATTCCATCACACTATTGACTGGGGAGATCAAATGGACTGCACTGGAAAGTAGATTATAATGCAGATACAGTGAGGTTAAAATTTAGCATATTATCACTTATTTTTCCTTTTAGCCCATTTTAAAATTTGTTCTATTTACTATTATCTTCTGCCTTTGCTTGAATTCAGGCCTTTGTGTGTTTTATTTTTTGTTGTTGGATTTTTCTCTTTTTTTATATGACATTCTTTATACAAAATCCAAAATAGGAAAATTTTATAGAGCCAGTAACTAGACTATTAGTTCCTTAGTATTATGGCAGGGAAGGCTAGGATTAAGGGAAGTTAAAAAATAATGGGTACAGGAATCAAGAAAATGTTCTAAAATTTGTTGTGGCACTTTTTAACATATATAAACCACTGAATTATATATCAGGTGAATTGTTTGTCCATAAAACTGTTTTTCAAACAAGAAATATAGCCAACAAACACACTGAAATGTAATAAAATTGTGGTAATATATAATCGTTTGTCAATTTGAGGTATAAGAGTGTAGGGGCGGAGTCTAGCTTGTCAATCAGATCATAGCCAATGAGGCCTCTGTGTGGGCATGGCCTTCTCCTGAGAATTCTGGGAAATCCGGTACTTCCTCCTTGGCACTTCTCTCTCTCTCTGCCACTCCCTGGAAGACATTGCAGCTGACAAGACACTAGTGCCCTAAGTTGGAAAAGCAACATGGACCTACCCTGATGCAACCAGACCTCTGAAGCCGGCGAAGTCACATAGAGACCCCTGCCAACGCTGAGATGCTTACAACGCCACTGGATTAAAAGACTTTCTACCCACTGGCCTGTGATCATCCTGCATTTGGCGTCATTGCATGTGTTTCATGAGTCTTAAAAGAACTTTATAGATTGGTAGTGGACATATGGGCTAATATTAGACTTATGGACTTGATCTGGACTGGGCTGGGATGTTTCTCAATGTTTAATTACCCTTTATATAAAAGTATCTTACCTAAATATGTGTGTTTATGCATTTGTTGCTCTATTCTACCCAGACTAACACAAAAATTTTTGCCAAATGTTTCGATATGTTGGTCACTGTGTTTTCATTAGTCTATCTCTACAGTCTTTTTGTTCTTACCTGTTCTTGCATCTTTACGTCATAATTAAGCAAGAATCATAAAAGACATGGCACATGGTAAAGAACATTATATATTTGAGTAAAAAGAATGTAAATCATCATCTTTATTAAACAATAATGTCTAATAAACCAAAACCAAACTCATTGCCATTAAGTTGATTCTGACTCAGCAACTTATATAAGGATCCCAAGAGTGTAAACCTTCATTGGAGCAAACGGCCTCATCTTTCTCCCATTTAAACCACCAATTTTAGGATTTGCAGTCTAATGCCTAACCTATATTGTCATAAGGGCTCCTATATAGAGAATGTAAAATTTAATCGAGGATATAGCACAGTGTTTCGCAATCTTCCTAATGCCACGTCCCTTTACTACAGTTCCTCATGTTGTGGTGGCCCCCAACCATAAAATTTTTTTCGTTGCTACTTCATAACTGTTATTTTGCTACTGTTATGAATTGGGCGGCCCCTGTAAAATGGTCATTCTACCCCCTAAAGGGGTCGCGACCCACAGGTTGAGAACCGCTGAATTATAGCACATATATTTGGCCAGTTTCTGAGAATTACTTCTTAGGAAAACTCCCTTTGTAGTAATGTTATTCTCTTGCATACTCCCTCACCCAATATCATTCTTATATAAATAAAATCTATATGCTTCTAAATTTTCTTGATATCTTTCTTTTGGTGGAGGAAGGCAGCTATATCACTTAAGAGGGTGTAGAGGGTTTAGGTAGCACCAGGTGATATTGTCAAACGAGGTGTCACCGATATGACGTCTATCCATTTTTGTGCAGTGTTTCAGCAGACATTTATTAAGTTTTACAGACCTATCCATGTAGTTAGTCATAACAACTTAAGTATTTTTCGTACATCCAGCTTACATGTATCTATGCTAATTTATTTTTTGGACCTTCCAACCCAAGCTGGTACGAAGAGTTATTATTAGCCAATAACAATAACACTTTGAATCCTGTGGAACTAGAGCAATTACAAACACACTGTTGTTTTCATTGTTGCCAGGTGCTTCTTTTAGTCACTGATTTTATGAAGTTTACTAGTGTGCAGAACCTTGATGGTAGTGAGTTTTGGTTTTTATTCTAGATATATCAAAAAAATTTTAGAATTAATTAGTAATTAAAGGAAATAAGGAATAAAAATCTAAAAAGATTTCCACTCAATACAAATAATATTGTAACTCTACTGTTTTAAGTCAACATAGAAAGATTTTACAAAACAATTTTCATTAAATTTTATTAATACTAATATATAGTAAATTATGTTAGTATTTATATAATTTAAGTAATATTACATTTACACATTTTACAACTATATTTATCACATATTATTCTATGATTAAAATTAATAACAAATAGCACTAAATCTTCTGTATGATGTGGTAGGGGAATAGGTTGATTAGGGTGATGGATGACACCGCGAGCTATTGTACCAGGTAATACCAACTCTAGCAATGCCATTAAGAAAGGGAAGATAGAAGGAGTGTGGAAGACTTGTGTGAGAAGTTATTTATGTATTATAGACTTTTCGAAGAGTCCTAAATTTCCACTCTTTCTCTCCAAAACTGTTTCCCTCAAACTCTAAGAACGAATTAGAAAACATTAGAGTTGAATCTAATTTTACTGCAACCCCTTCTGAAGTGTTTTAGGGTTGACTACATGGACTGAATTTCATAATTAATCATGCACAGTGTCTAAAATTTTACATTTTATATAATCTTAAAATATTACTATATATTTTGCATTGCTTTTGAAGCTTTAATTCCTTTAATTGAGACTTTGATTAAGGAGGCAATCTAGTAAAATTTACATTTTGTGGCACTAAGTACCATTAAAAGTCATTTTCTCTGGTTCTTAAATGCTTCCTCCCCCCACTATCATGATCCCAATTCTACCTTATGAATCTGGCTAGACCAGAGGATGTACATTGGTACTGATTGGAACTGGAAGCACAGGGAATCCAGGACAGATGATCCCTTAAGGACCAGTGGTGAGAGTGGCGATACCTAGAGAGTGGGGTAGAAAGGGGGAACTGATTACAAGGATCTACATATAACCTTTTCCCTGGGGGATGGACAACAGAAAAGTGGGTGAAGGGAGAAATCACACATAGTAGCATATGACAAAATAATAATAGTTTATAAATTATCAAGCTTTCATGAGGGAGGGGTGAGTGGAGAGGGAGGGCGGAAATGAGGAGCTGATATCAAGGGCTCAAGTAGAAAGTAAATGTTTTGAGAATGATGATGGCAACGAATGTACAAATGTGCTTGACACAATGGATGGTGATAAGAATTGTATGAGCCCCCAATAAAATTATTTAAAAAATAAAATAAAGGACATTTCTATTTTAAAAAGTCATTTTGTGGCTCTCGAATCAGTCTGAATAACCCAAACTCCCTGCCATCGAGTTGTTTTTGATTTATAACCACCCTATAGGACAGAGTAGAACTGCCTCTGTGGCTTTGTGAGACTGCAACGCTTTCAGGGAGCAGAAAGGCTCATCTTTCTCCTATGGAGTCGCTGGTGCTTTCAAACTGCTGAACTTACAGTTGGCAATGCTATGCTTAACCCACTATATCACCAGGGCTCCCTCCAATCATTTGAGCATCAGTATTACTGAGGTAGAGAAAAACTTACTACCTATAACCTAGGGATAAAACTACTATGAGGTTGATGATTAAAAGAGTAAGAATAAGGCACCCCTGTGCCCCCCAAATAAGCCAGGGCCCTAGGTAATATTTGACGCTGTGATCATTTAGCACTAATTGGGTGCCCACTACAACTGTTAACTTTGACTCCCGATGCACTGAGGAAAGTGTAAGTGTGCACCCAGTATCTTCTTTCCTAAGGAAAAAAAAAATACTGAATGAGTTGGGCTTCTGTTGTTATTATTTTTACTTGTAAGTTCTTTTCATCCAGGGCAGTGGGATCTTCTTGCTGTGATTTGGAGACCATTAAATAAACACCTTTTTAAAATTAGAAAAGACAAATCTAAATATCATTTTAATTTTTTTAAAAATCTCGGCTCAGAGGATGAGGGAAGTTATTTAGCACGGTTCCGGGTTTCCTCCAGCCCCACCCGCACACACCATCAACAGCTACCAGCTCTTGGTCCCTCAGTTGGTCTGTCCTGTTTGTGAGCAATCCCTGTCTGTCGGTCTGCGCTCTGCCCTCCCGCCGTGCATCTGCCCTTCCCTTCTGACTCCGCCCCGCATCTGTCCGGAACCGCCTCGCGTCTGAGCTGACCCAGTGCACGTCTGCCAGCCCGTCCCTCCGGACCTGCTGCGAGGCTTCCAGATCACCGCGCGTCACTCGGTCCGTACCCAGTGGGCACCTTGGGTAGCTGGGCGGTCTCCGGTTCCCTGCGCGCGCGGCGTGTGTCTGTCTGTCTCGCTGTTCCATCCGCTGCCTGCAGCCCGCCTGCCGGTCCCCGAGCACCCAGTGTCTAGCCTGCCTTTTCGCTGATGCCCGGTGTGTGTGGCGGCCTCAGGCAGCTGCGAGCCCGCCTGCTACTCGCCAGGCAGCCGGCGGAGGAATACTGGTCAGGCCCCTGCCCTCGTTGATCTAATTTTAAACCAACAGGAGCTCGAGGCCTGCATTTTATGCAGCAAACCGGTCGCGAGGCCTCTGTCGGCAATGCTAGATTTGGCGAGTCAGAGTGGCTGCCTGATGATTTCTAGCAATTTAACCAGGAAAAGGTAGCTTCTTCCTGAATGCTGGCTTTTGAAACGCATTAGAAATCTGAACTGGCAAAAATCCTAAACCCCTTTAGGGAAAACCGATTCTTGACTAGGGTGCCTTGTTGTCTAATTTCTGAGCCTGCTGACCAGCTGTTTTTGAACTTCATTTCTCAGCCTCAACAGTGATTCTGAGTCTGCTTTAAGCTTCCTGCGCCTTGGCTTTTTCTGTTCTTCCCGAACAGCTGCTTGGCCCATAGTTTAGAGAAAGCAATCTTTTTCACTCCCAAGAGAGACTCCTCCCGGTGCTTACAGAAATGGGGAGTGGGGAGCCTAATCCTGCTGGCAGGAAAAAGAAGTACCTCAAGGCTGCGCTGTATGTGGGTGACTTGGACCCAGATGTCACCGAGGACATGCTCTATAAGAAGTTCAGGCCTGCTGGTCCTTTGCGCTTCACACGAATCTGCCGTGACCCAGTGACCCACAGTCCCTTGGGCTATGGTTATGTTAACTTCCGCTTTACTGCAGATGCTGAGTGGGCACTCAACACCATGAATTTTGATTTAATTAATGGCAAACCATTCCGCCTCATGTGGTCTCAGCCAGATGATCGCTTAAGAAAGTCTGGAGTTGGAAACATCTTCATCAAAAACCTGGACAAATCCATAGACAATAGGGCCCTTTTTTACTTGTTTTCAGTTTTTGGGAACATTCTCTCCTGCAAAGTAGTATGTGATGATAACGGCTCTAAAGGCTATGCCTATGTGCACTTCGACAGCCTGGCCGCTGCCAACAGGGCGATCTGGCACATGAATGGAGTGAGGCTCAACAACCGTCAGGTGTATGTAGGCCGATTCAAATTCCCAGAAGAGCGGGCTGCTGAAGTCAGAACCCGGGATAGAGCAACGTTCACCAACGTGTTCGTTAAAAACTTTGGGGACGACATGGATGATGAAAAACTGAAGGAACTTTTCAGTGACTATGGGCCGACTGAGAGTGTGAAAGTGATAAAAGATGTCAGTGGGAAATCCAAAGGCTTTGGGTTTGTGAGATATGAGACGCACGAGGCTGCCCAAAAGGCTGTGCTAGACCTGCATGGCAAGTCCATCGATGGGAGAGTGCTATATGTAGGCCGAGCACAGAAAAAAATTGAACGCCTGGCTGAATTAAGGCGGAGATTTGAACGACTGAGATTAAAGGAAAAAAGTCGACCTCCAGGAGTGCCTATCTACATTAAGAACCTAGATGAGACCGTTAATGATGAAACACTGAAGAAAGAATTTTCTTCCTTTGGATCAATTAGCCGTGCCAAGGTGATGGTGGAAGTGGGGCAAGGCAAAGGGTTTGGTGTTGTTTGCTTTTCTTCTTTTGAAGAGGCTATCAAAGCAGTGAATGAAATGAATGGTCGAATAGTGGGCTCCAGGCCCCTGCATGTCACCCTGGGCCATGCCAGGCACAGGTGGTGAAAATGAAAATGCATTTGTTTCAACCTTATGCTTGGGCCTACTTAGTTGGGCTCCTTTGTTATATGATGTTATTTAATAATAGGTTTTTTTAAGCGATTACTTTCTTTTGGAAGAAAACAGGAAGCTTAAGAAACCTTGTTCATTCAAATGAAGAATATAATTTCTAATTGTAAAACTGTCATTTTTTTCTATTTTTTGATATACTAGCTTTAGGAATATGTAGAGTAAGGTTTATTCCTCAACATTTTTTTCCTGGAATCAGCCAAGTTGAGGTAATTGAGGATATTTATTTCCTTCGTTATTTCAGTACAACTAATAACTTTAATTTCTTCCATGAAAACACTCTCAAGGTAGGCTTTACTTCTGAATCTATCGAAGTAAAAATTTTGGTAAATTAGTAAGAGTAGGGGGGAAATCCAAACACTTCTATGCATAATTATATTGGAAGTTATTATATAAAACAGATTATTTAAAAACTGTATAGTTTTAAATTTTATTTACATTTTAATTTCTTTTTGAAATATATCATTCCCATACTACAAACATAGTAGTGGCTTTGACTAAAATGCTGGAAGGGTTTTTTTTATCTTAACCCCATAGGAAGAAAGTATATGGTTTGTCTGGTTTTCTTCAATACGTACCTTAGAAATTAAGAATTTAAGTGGTGTTTCTGTTTAAATTATGCTTTAATTCTTAAAAGCCTTTACTGAGAGAGATTATATTTGATGACAGTCGAAGGAGCATTTGCCTAAATTTCTTGGGATATATACCTATATCATTTCAAATTAATAATAAAAATGGAATACTTGCACTGAATTACCTTTACATGTAGGTAATTTAATAAATCTTGCCTTCAGTCTTTATCAGGTGTCAATATAAAGGACAAAAAATTCACAGAACAATGTTGAAAACTTTGAAAAATATTTTCGACTTGCCATTATTACAAATTGTTGAATGTATCAAGATTCACTAGTTCAAGTTTAAAAAGTTGTCTCCTTTAAGCCACATGCGCCCATTATTTACATAAAAGCTAATAATTAAATGTGATTCCCTGTACATCTTGGGTGCTTGAAAACATTATATTGTGTTCTATGCTGCAAAAACCTTAATTAATCTGTAATTTCTAGCAAAATTATCCAATTTTCCACCTGAAGGCTCCCAGTACTCTCACTCTTCTCTTTTCTGTTCATATTACATGTATTTTACTGGATTTTTTTTTTATATTTGCCTTGTTTGTTCTGTTTTTAGTCTCTGCCAGCTCAAACCCATCTTGCAAGTAGAGAAGTGAATGTGTAATTTATGCAAAATTTAAATAATTACTTTTTAATAGTCTGATTCACTCATACCAAAGATCTAAACTTAAGAAAATGAGTATATCTCTTCTTAGTAGGTTTGGTTTTTATTATTTTATATATAAAAATATTTCATACATAATTAAAAATAAATATATAATTTTGTTAATAATTTTAGGTATTTGATGAGATAATAAAATAAAACAAATGTTTTATGTAATTGTTTATCTGTAAGGTACATGCACATTTTTAGCAAATATTTTCAAAATGGAACTTGTTGTTTTTATTGATTTAAACATGACCTCCTAAAAGTAAAAAAAAGTATACATTGAAGAAATTTTTAAGAATGCATATAAATTCCCATTACTGAAAAATAGTCACTATAAATATTTTAGTGCAAATCTTTTCACTCCTTTATGTACAGACACACACGTTTTTATAAAAAAGAAAGCGTACTTTATTGTACTGTTTTGTATGTGTTTTATTTAAAACTCAGCCATAATCATCCTAACATGTAAATAAATAACACTCAAAGCATACTTTTAGCGACTGTATAGTATTCCATTATGTGGATGTACTATAATTTATTTAGGTAATTTGTTATTAAGATTTATATGGCTTTACATATTTCTTATATTTTTAAGCTAATCTTTAATAAACATACCCCTGCATAAAACTTCATGAGTTATAGGAGCTAGAGAGAAAAATATCTATAGCATGTAAAGCCTTAATTCCAAAGAACTAAAAACGTGCACAATATTAGTATATGTATCAAAATTTGGGAATACTTTCAAGATGTAGTTTGCATTTGACAAAAGAAAAACTGCAAAAGTAAAGGGAACTATAAAACCTCATATTTTATAAGCCTATTTGCTTTGCATTATGGCTCTCAAATATATGCTTATAATGCAATTTCACATACATTTCAAAGTAATTACCTTGACATTTGCCATATGTAGTCACTATTTATTTTTTTCCATTAAGTTTTCCTTTAAATTTATAAACCTGAAGGGTCAGTGTTAGCCTGTATTCTTTACAAATTCTATAATTCTATATAAATCTATAAATACTCCTAGAAGACAGAAATCATCTACTCTAAACAGTTAACACATTTTCTTGCAACTATTTAAGTATTTAAATAGCTAGTATTTTGCAATGACCGTGCAATATTTAAAAAAGAGAGATTAAAATATGCCAAAGTACAACTAAAATATACATTGCAGGACACTACTAAACATCCCAAAGAATTCTGTGAATCCAGTTGGTAAAAACTAGAACAAAAATATAAAGAAAAAGATCATCAATGTGAACACCAATACCTCTACAGATTATACATCTTATGCATTTCATATAACATATACTGTATATTCGAGTTTAAGCCACCATATATATTCGAGTATAAGCCAACCTGAATATCAGCCAAGGCACCTAATTTTCCCACAAAACCTGAATTAAAGATGTGCTGAAAAACTTGGCTTATGCATGAGTATATATGGTATATTCAGAAAATAAACCTCATTGTCATCGAGTTGATTCCAGCTCATAGTAACCCTATAGGACAGAGTAGAACTTCCCCTATGGGTTTCTGAGCCTGTAAATATTTATGTGAGTAGAAAGGCTCTCATCTTTCTCCAGAAGAGCATCTGGTGATTTTGAATTACTGACCTTATGGCTAATAGCCTAAAGCATACCCCATACTTCAAAGCCTAAAACATACCAAGTTTTAGCAATACTTAATAGACTCCTGATACTTAAGACTCCCAAATAGGAGTATCTAAACAATTGAGCAGCTTAAACAATTTAAAACATTTTAAAAAGTTTATTGTTCATCATTTGCACATGATAATTAGCAAAAAATTCTATTATTGCTTTAAGAATGAACTATTTAATAGAAGTTTTGTTTTGTTTTTGTAACTATTCAAAATGATTACTTGTATAAGCTTCAAAAGTACTCAGCAGAAACAAAATTAGGAATATTGTTTTATGATTACATACCACAATAATAAAGGTAATTTTGAACAGGCTCTTCTATCCAGGAAATTTCACACATGTCGTTAAAGGAGAAGCTAAAATTAGACAAATAGATGATATTTTAAGCTCAATGAAGAAAACTGTAAGAATAGTGATTTATTTAAGGAGATTAGGGAAGGAATGAATACCATCTTCTATATACATCTATACCCTGTATTTAGAGACATAGGTAGAAATGCATCAATAAATGACAATATAAATTGTACAGGTTGTCCCCACACCTATGATGATACCTGGAATATAGTAGGCAATCCATCCATGAATACTTATTCAACAAATGAATTCATAAACTGCAGCTTATATCCTGGGAGAAATATGGAGCTTTCCACTCTCATAAAGACTTACTTTCTCAGAAACTAACTTGAGCAGTTCTATCCTGTCTTATAGGGTCACTATACATTGACTTCCACTGGATAACAGTGGATTTGGTTTTTGGATCTTATAGCCTACTGTCTCATTTCTTTTCCTTTATTGTCTCAATAGTTGATAAAAGAAATGTTATTGCCAATTTAAATATTTTATTACATCTCATGTACTGTTAAAATAATTGAGAACCTATTGGTTATAAAGGCTGCTGCCTATGTTAAAGTGTCATCATTGTTTTCACTTGTCTCATACTCTTGGTTCAGTGTTTGATTGGTGTGCTTGTCTATGTAAAGAAAGCTAAATAATTGGCACATTTTAGATAATAGACTATTTGTTGAGTAGCAAGTTTAATGGGATGCTGCTTCAAAATCAAGAAGATTGCTTTATGTTGTAGCAGGTGATAATGACAATCCCTGCCCATTGACGTTTCTTCATGAAAAATGAATGTCTTCTCATATTTTCAGGATATTATTTATTTTCCATTAACTGTAATCTAATAAATAGTTCCTTGGAGCCTCAAGGAAGTCAACGTACTTCAAGTTGCTTCAGATATTATAGTCAGATTTAGAAATTACCTATTATTTGAAATCTGTAAAGAAAAGGTCCTGACTAACATAAACTACGAATACTGAGGCTATAACTTCTATCAAATCAAGAAATGAACGCCAAGAACTTTCACACTCAAAAGTTAAAATCCATTTTAAAAGAGCTCTCATTGGGCACAAAAATAGATCAGCCAGTTTAATAAATGTCCCATAAGAACAATTGGGGTCTTTGAAATTTATTTATTTTTAACATTTAAAACTTTAGAGGACAGTCCAGGGAAAGGAATGAGTGTTGATATGATATGATATGATACGATACGATACGATATGATATGATACGACTATCTCAGTCATATTAGAAAATGATTTTCTTTGAAAATTTATCAAAAGGGAAACATCAGATGTTGGTATCTTTTGTATGGAAAAAAATAAGCTTTCTATAATGAAGACTAAAGTTACATCTATTTGGAATTTACTTAAAACCTACAAAAATGTAAATTATACATTTAAAAAATCAGAGACTTTTAAAGTCAGTATTGGAGGCTGGGCCCGTAAATGTAATTTTAAACTGATTTATGCATAATAGTAAATGACTAAATTATGTTCACTTCTC